GTACACAGCCGGAATATCTAATCTTTAGCACTTTTTCGCAATTTGTTTTTCACATATTTGTTCTGACTACTTGCCTGCCTGGTAATGATACATTTTATGGTATGTATTGGAACTTTCAGATATCTCGATGACTCTCTGGGGCCGTCGTTGCCGTCGCCGTAAATCACACGCACTGCTGGAAGCTTCCGAATAAAACTGGCCGACCCGGGCGCAACTATGTTTGGCGGCGAAGGTAGCACAAGTTTTTAATATTTGGTTGTCTCACACTTATCGCCCCAGATAAGAAAATAACCTAAATATGATATTGTTTATGTGGGCGAATGTCGAAACTGACTAATCCATTCGCAGGCAACGCCAACTGGCAACTGCCGCCAGTTGACTGCGGCATTAACTACACTTGCAAGTGCATTGGTTGCCACGCCCTAAAAAGCTATGGGGAAGACCTACAAGTCTCGCACAATGCCCTGTCTTAGAGTTCGCCTCAGTATACAGACAACATTGGCGATTGGGTGTTTTGTTATTTGTTTTACATTCGTTTTAATAAATAAATAGATTCACATTATTGTTGATTTGTTGACCACTGTGTGTCGTTGCACAGAATAGAATATTTGGGGCGAATGTATTAGGTTTTATACGATTAACAACTGCAAGCGACGCTGCATATATGTACATACATACGTATGCATATTTAAATATAGGTATGTACATAGCTATTTGTATGTGATTACATATACGACTATTTATTGTTTTTATGAGACATTATTTGGTTTGGATAATCAATCAATATCAGGTATGCAGAGTCTTTAGATAATTTTGAAATACATATCAAGCAAGTAAACGACATAAACATCAGTGCATTTTTATGCATAACAACATACGAATTTTCCATACATTTTAGCTTAAGCTTAATACAATATATAAAGGAAATTGGCAACTTAACAAAGCGTGTAATATTTCCGCAACCAAACAGCTCAAAATAATAATATTCGAACGCTTTCGTTTCTGTGACTGGTAAATGAGATTATGCGGTTATTAGAAATATAACTTTAGTAAGGACAATACAATTAAGTTTTTGACATTGCCTGTTAACATTAAATCAAAGTTTGCCGAATGCAAGTTAATTGGGCGCATGGTTCTAGTCCCGCGAGGCGCCAATAATGGTTAGAATATAAATGAAAATGTTGACAATGTCCAAGTACAGATTCAGAGCAGCAAAGATGTACTCCTCGGGACTTATAGAGTACTTATGATCTCCGCCCATCATCAGCTGAGTGTCGTATATCAGATATACCGAGAAGAGGAGCGCACCAAAGGACGCATAGACCAGCGTTATGATTTTGCCCTTGAAAAATATGGCCACGATGCCAAATATCATAAAGACCACCAAGCAAGCGAGTAATACGCCGCCCATCATGGTAAAGTCCACTTTCGTTTGCATGGCAAATATTGTGAGTGCCAGACAAACAGCAGCCGTTATGCCCACCGCCATTAAAACCTGCAGAATCAAGGAAATCAATTGGAGTTGACATTACATTTGCAAACAGTACTCACCTCTGTCTGACCGTAGGTGCTGGCTGATACACCCAAGAGGAATGATTGCGCCACTGTAAATATTCCCAAGAATATAAAGTTTGTCGGAGTCTGGCGGCGCACGCTTTCGCAGCAGGCCATGGCCAACATGGTGACGACCAAAACGCCTAGAGCTACCCAAAACAGCCACCTATTGCTATGTACAAAATTCTTAGTGCCATTGTGGAAGGAAAACAGTGCTACAGCTCCGAAGGTGACCAAGAGTTGACCCTGCAATAAAACCCAAAATTCAATTATAGTCTTAGTTATAAAAATTGGGAACGTATGCTATTAGAAGCAAGCTGCTTACCATTAGAATAATGTAAACTTTGCGTATGAATCCGCGACGGATGCTCTGGTCGTCAAATGAAAAGTTCTTGGGCTGACCCTCCGGATCATCGTAGGAGCCGTAGCCATCAGAAGGTGGTTGAACAAAGCCAGGCTGAGGCGCATATCCTCCCGGTGGCGGATATGGTTGAGCGCCGCCCTGGGCGTAAGGGGGATATCCTTGCGGCGGATAACCTCCCTGCGGCGGATAACCTCCTTGCGGCGGATAACCTCCTTGCGGCGGATAACCGCCCTGTGGCGGTCCCTGGGGATAACCACCGCCATAGCCACCCTGTGGCGGGTAGCCACCACCATAGTTGTATTGCTGATTGGGATCTGTGGGAAGAGTAATATGTGAATCTATTCTATATAAGGATTCGCTCATGCAATCCGAACAGAACAGAAATGTGCCTTTTATGGTGAGCTCGACCTGTTGATGAGCACTCAAAAAATAATCTTAACATCTACCACTTATTACGAAATCCTAAAAATATATTCCAATTAAGAATCTAGTGCACAGCTTAAGGAAAACCAAAGAAAGATAACATTGGGTTTTAAAAACCAAACGATCGCAAATATATTGCTAAATAAATGCATTTATGTCTAGTCTGTAATGTCGAGCTTAAGCTCAAGCGTGAAACATATCTTGTAAAGTGAAATGTTGAATTGAGGATTAGTCATGGAATGCAGAAGCTAAGTCATTTTCACAATTGACAGAATAACAATGGATACAATCATTCCAAGTATTTCGCGCTCAGATTTCGAAGAGTCATTGTGAATCACGAGTATGAGGAGAACGTACTTCTCTATGCAAAAGTACGTTATGTAATTAAGTCTATAAAAGTATTTTCTCTTTAGAAAAAGAAGAAGAAAAGAAGAAGTTAGTAAGTTACTAAGTAACCCTCATTCAGGCGCATAGATAAGAAAGCACTTAGTAATAACGCACCGCACGATAATTCCCATATGTTTTGTTATCTTAAGATGTGTATCAGTCCGAATGGAGAACCATGAAGGAATATATAAATAAAGAAAAGTATATATATAATGTGCAAATATTTAATTTGTTCAGTAAGAACAGGGAAAAGGAAATTGTCGCAAACCCAAACCAAATTGCATTCTGGGTATTCAACAAAATTATTGATTATCACAAATTTCTGGTAAAAGATGAAGTATCAGAAAAGCTGTTTACATTTACATTTAAAATGAATGACATGTACTTCGATGCTTGACAGCACTCGAATACGACAATAAACCATCCAACCAAGGCGTAATGTACTCTAAAATGGACCAGAGCTACAAATGGCTAGCAGGCCTTATAAATATGTAAGTAATGGCAGAAAATGAAACGCAACAAAAGCATGCGACGGGTAACGAAACAGAAAGCATATCAAATCATATCAATTAACCAACAAATGAAAAGTACAAATAAGTTAAACCTTGGTATTGAGGATATTGAGGGACACTTTGCCACGACATTGCTGTAACGTTTGTCGCGCTTGTGGGCTCAACTGAACTGAACGATCTGCTCCTACAGATAGCTACTAGGGACCACTATACCGAGTGTTCACTGCAAAGTAAACCCAAGAAACCGTTAGTTCCAGTTTGTATATAAGAACTCACCCTGCATTTCGCTGATCTTATCGCTGTGACAGCTCGATACTTTCAATGGATGTCGCTTTACCTGCAAAATAAAAGAAATGAATAATAACTTGATGAATTTATTATTTGTTGTGTTACTACCTTGGATAATTGGGTGTAAGTGCATCAAGTTTTTCTTTGAAATCAAGTTTTAAAAGCAAAATCAAATATTGAAATGCATAATAAAGTAAATCTATAATAAATAGATTTTTTAGACCCACGTTTCTGGAATTTTCCCAAGGTCTTTGTGGCAATACGAATTGGGGTATTGTCCTAATGAAAAATGCAACGTCCCCCATTGTTCGATTAATGAACGTAATTAATTAAGTAATTTTGAAATTTAATTTATATAATTACTTTGTTGAAAAATTTACACTTTCCTTATTTGCTTTATCATTACGAAATGTTTTTGTTTAGACATTACTTTTTGCCTATTAAAAGCATCTCTTGTTTTAACTGTACTTAGAATAATGAGTAAAGGATAATCCATAGGCAAAATACAAATAATATAAAAGCCTTTGCATACAAAAACAAATATATCACATATATTAAAAAGAGAGAAAGAGAAACGCGCATGTAACTATTTCCCTAAAGTATTTAAACTAATAGACCCAGATAAATTTCCAGTCAGATTTCTTACGATTTAGCTGGCTTTGAGGGAATTTTCTAACTAGGGGAATTTCGGGAGCAATGGAAAATGGCCCGACCTAAAATACGTGGTTTGTTGTGGAATAAAGTAAACATGACGTGTGAACCTTCTGCAGATGCCTATTAATACGTAAAATTGTCGCTATAGGCATTTGCATATGCTTGCATATACTAAGTGTGCAGTTGTTAATCAAAAGGTTTAGCCAGATATGTGGCCACTGTACTTGTGCGAGATGATTAAATTTTCCCCGCATTTCTGCTTAAAGTAAGGCAAAGCAGTTATATAGTGGCTGGTGAGTCACTCGCACGACCACTTAAGTGATTATTTGGGGTGAAAACGACGAAAAAAAACTAAAAAACACTTGTTTCTATATGTTTAGCAAAGAATGTTTGTTCTTAAAATAGCCATCGGCGATATTTACCTTATTAAATACGCACAGAAATGTGGCACAACAAATTAAACAAACTTCCACTTGAGTGTTTTTTCAGAAAACTGCGTTTCTTAGGGATGAACATAATATCGATATAGCATGGTTCCAAATATATCGATACGGAATGTTGAGCTTAGTACGGAGTGCATTTCCAATGTTGGTAAAATGCTATCGCTAGCTATCAGCAAGTTTTTGAATCAACTGTAAATTTTGATATGACCATCATATAAAGTAAAATTTGCAGAGCGTTAAATATTTATTATTTCTTGTATTTGTAAGTGGATTTTCATTTTATTATTCAAAATGTTTACCGGTTAATGCATCATTAAAATATATCGATAATACAGTTTACGTCAACCATCGATAACAGGCCAGAAACAACCTAAATATTACCAACTGCACAACGGCCGAGCATGCTGCAATAGCTCCCGACACTCGTGTAATCTATTCGTTTGTGTATTAAAAGGCTAGGAAAGATCTGGTAAGCGTCTTGCAAGTGCAACCAAAATCAATAAATGAAGGCCACAAATGGTGAAATTTGTCGTCCAAGTGCTGTATGTTTAGGTTATGTGTGAGTGCGGCACGAAACAAAGAGAAGGTTGGCTCGCTTTCCATATGTGGTGGGCAATTGATGCGTGGGGTTGACTGAACTGCAGAATGTAACCGGCAGCAGCGGCTTTCAATTGCAGTGCATATGCAAATTAGTGCACGCTACATTCGCTGCTATTTTTATAGAGAACGCATGCACTCACACAAATACATACATATGTGTATATGTATGTGTGTGACGCAATAGTTGAGTGCCGAATTCGTGCCGCCTCTCGCCTGTTGCTTATCGCAACCATTGCGGTTGATGTGTCTGTAAAACTATAAAAATTGTCGCAATTTTCAGCCGTCTTTGTTGCATTCCAAAATGGTCGAGGAAAAGGAGAATACAGCCAGTGCAAACGCCGCTGCTGGGCAGGAGCCGGTCTCCAAGAAGGGAGCAAAGAAGCAAGCGAAAGCGGCCAAGGTAAGCTGCGCCTGGCGACGTGGCATAAGTCTCAGCTCATATACCGCTGATAACATTGATTAGTGCCGTTATTGCTCATTAATTCTTCTACTTTATCTCTCCACAGAAAGCTGAGCAGAAAGCCGGCACTGCCGCTGCCCTCGCCGCGGAAGATGCGGCCGGTGACAATGCAGCGGATCATGCTTCAGCTCGCTACGGTCTCTCCGAGATGATACAGTCGAAAGATAAGCGCAGCGAGCGCGAGTTTGTGTCTGTGCCCGAACTGAATGCGCATGTGGGCAAGAGTCTGGTCTGGGTACGTGGCCGCGTGCATACGTCGCGCTCAAAGGGCAAACAGTGCTTCCTTATTCTGCGCCAGCAGAGCAGCACGGTTCAATGCATTCTGGCCGTGGGCGACATCATCTCCAAGCAGATGGTCAAATTTGCCGGAAAGTAAGCGTAACGATATTTCGATTGAGTTGTATGCGTAATTGATTGATTGATGTACTGATTGATTGCAGCATACCGAAGGAGAGCATTATCGACATCCAAGCGAAGCCAGTGTCTGTGCCCACCAGAATTGAGTCTTGTACGGAACAGTTGTTGGAGCTGTGCGTGGAGCAGATTTTCGTCATTTCGCAGGCAAAGGCACAGCTGCCACTGCAAATTGAGGACGCATCTCGACCTGAAAACGCAGACGATGCCGAGGGACTTAACATACGCGTCAACCAGGACACCAGACTAGATAACCGCGTACTCGACTTGAGAACACCAGCAAATCAGGCCATTTTTCGCCTGGAGGCTGGCGTATGTCGTTTGTTCCGCGATATTCTGACCGAGAAGGGATTCACCGAAATCCACACGCCCAAGATCATTTCCGCTGCCAGCGAAGGTGGCGCTAATGTCTTTACCGTCAGTTACTTCAAGGGTAAGTTTTTTGAGAGACAATTCTTTCCGATGCGATTTAATTTTTGGCTTTTCCAGATTCTGCATATCTGGCGCAGTCTCCGCAGCTGTACAAGCAAATGGCAATCGCTGCCGATTTTGACAAGGTGTACACTGTTGGCGCAGTGTTCCGCGCAGAGGACTCAAACACGCACAGGCACTTGACCGAGTTCGTTGGACTCGATTTGGAAATGGCATTCAAATACCACTACCACGAAGTGTTGCATACGATTGGCAATACGTTTACAGCCATCTTCAAGGGTCTGCGCGACAAGTACAGCCGAGAGATCGAAGCCGTTGGCCAGCAGTATAAGGTGGAGCCATTCAAGTTTCTGGAGCCGCCGCTTATACTGCAGTTCGCGGAGGGCGTGGCTATGCTGCGCGAAGCTGGCATCGAGACGGGGGACGAAGAGGATTTGTCAACGCCAAATGAAAAGTTGTTGGGTCGCCTGGTGAAAGCCAAATACGACACTGACTTCTACATCCTCGACAAGTTTCCGCTGTCGATACGTCCGTTCTACACGATGCCCGACCCCAACAACCCGATCTATTCCAACTCGTATGACATGTTCATGCGCGGTGAAGAGATCCTGTCGGGCGCGCAACGTATACACGATCCCGAGTACTTAATTGAGCGTGCCAAGCACCACGGCATTGGTAGGTGTTACTATTATTGCTACCAGGCAGTATAAAGCTTATCCTTTGCATGCACATTCTTGCAGATACCACGAAAATCGCTGCTTACATTGAATCCTTCCGTTACGGATGTCCACCGCACGCTGGCGGCGGCATTGGCATGGAGCGTGTCGTTATGTTGTATCTTGGCTTGGATAACATTAGAAAGACGTCAATGTTCCCACGTGATCCCAAACGGTTAACGCCTTAAACGTGATCGATTCAAAAACAATAACTTATATTTTATTGAATTAAATTCGCTACAATCTTTTATTTCCCTCTAACTTTCCAATCTGTGAACCTTCGCCAACTCTCAACATTTTTTTATTTTAGTAGACGCCTGCTACTCCCTAAGTCTATATCCTCTTTTAAGAAATTGCATACTGCAAAGTTGTCTGACAACAAAATTTGTAAAGACTGTTTAGGTCAAAGTGTTTAAAACCATACGAAATAAATCTTTGCAAGTGTGTTTGGTAATTTCTATGTGCATTGTTTCGTTAAGCAAATGCAACTTCTGTTAGAGGAAAAAGAGGACGATTTTTGCTTATTATGGGAGACACTGCTAACACACAAGCTAACAAAGCGAAACCCATTTAATTAATTGTTACGGGTACCTCATTCAATATATCCATGAAATGAAAACCATTTAGATAATTGCCAAGAAAATTGCATTCAATGTTTATTTGAAGAGGGACCTACAGTTCGTCGTAAAATGTGAAATGTGTAGACGAAGACATGTCCGACTCTTAAAAACTATTTAAATTCTGGATCAGTACCAACAGACGAGCTGATATAACCATGTCGTCTATCTGCTGAAGTCTCTCAGCCTTAAAGCTTTCGACATGTCCGTCTTTTCGTTATAGGCAGAACATATTGTATTTCAGATCTAATCAGATTGGACCACTATGTCGCATAGCTGCCAAAGGAACGATCGGTTAGAGCTTAAGTTTATGGAAAAAGGAAATTGTTTGTTGAAATAGCTTGGACAATCCCGAAATTTGTTAGTTTACTATGCTTTTTGCATATATGGAGACGCATGATGAACATTGTGCGACATTCAATATAATATCGCCCTATATGCCTGTGTACTGACAATGTCACCCACCTCGGGGTGGTCCCTGGCTCTGTTCAGCAAGGACAAAGCCGGGATCTTAAGCCCAGGGAGTGGGTCCACTCGAAAGGCCAAGTTAAGGTTCCTTAGAGCAACGTTGTTTTTAAAAAGTTTCATGTTTCTTTTCTCATAACATATTGCTGAGAATGGAGGTTGACGGACAACTTTCATGTTGATCAGGTGTCAACAAAGGGACACAGCGACCCAGCCAGGTAACCTTATCCTTATAAAACGGATGTCTTTTAAAGGCACACGTTTTGGTGCAATTTATATGCCCTTATATGATGCCATTATATCGGACTGATCGGACAGAAACGCAGCTTTTTTCAAAGAATATTTACCAAAATGCAGCACAGAGGGGAAATAACTGCAAACGCGATGTGAAAAGTGCGCAGCTTGCGGTGATTTGGAGTACAGGTATCTGCTGATCGGATCATCTCGACTACAGCTTTTTATCATATTGATAAGGCACATCTAAGGGTCAAACACTTGGATAACGATGCGTTTTTGTGCTAATGTCTGCAAGAGCTGTGCTGCGAATGAAGATTACTTTACTAGTTTGGGATAGATGGACATATCAAGTCGTGATAAATGATCTACGATAAATACTTATGGAAATGTCTCCTTCTATGCATTTCACAAATTATAATTAAAAAACTATAATAACCTCTAGAAGGCTATACAAATATTATATACTATCACAAATTTATGAAAATATATTGCCTTCGATCTTCTAAGTTTCCAGTATGTCGGCGATTGGATGGGGTCTCCCAAAAAAGATACATTGTAATTGATAAAACACTAGACAAATTGTTATAATCATTGCTGACATCCATTTATTTCATTGTTCTTGTTTTGGTTTTTAATTTATGTTCAGTTTGAGCAATAATATATTAACTAGAAATATATAGAATTTTGAAAATTGCTGCTGGATTTGAGCCAGCGATCTGCTGCTTGTTAGTCAGTTAACGTCACTAGTTCATACCTATATATATATATATATGCTAGCTGATATTTCCAGGCCTTGCCGGGCCGAGTTTTTTGCTTCAAATTTTAGACAGTTTTCCCGTCTTTGGAAAATTCAAATCTTCCCGTAGAAGAAAATGTCATAAACATTTTTGCAACCAAAACTTCGTCTTTATAGCTATTTCACTTCCAAGAGGGCTGGATTTTACGAAAAAATAAGAAACACTCATTAAATGAATTTTCTCAAAGATCTTTAAAATGTTTGTTGAAGCCGGAAGATCGGATTGCAAACAAAAAACTATCGTATCGTATATTTAATCTGTCGGATCTTAGAGACAACTGAAATTACGCGCTTATTGAAAAACATGTAGAATTCCAATTGTAAGATTTAGTTTATATGATAACAAGAAATAAAGCTGTTTTTTAATAATAATAACAGGTCTGTTTTTAAAGTAAATTACCTAAATAAAGCTGATTAAAGATCAAATAGTTCTCAGTGAATAATATCTGTGAAGAATCTATCTTCTTTCTACGGGAGTACTGTCAATATTTCAGAGAGTTTGCCTAAAGTCAAAAAAAGATGGATTGCATATACCTTTTGTTTTATATTATTTTATTAAATTCCCAACTTAACAACATTCTTAATATAAATATATTTTCTTGACCAACGAAATCAATTTCACATAAAAAAAGCAAACTTTAGTTCGATATTTTTACTTTTTTATTATCAAAAAAACCTCTCTAACTCTTTTAAATTTAAATTCGAATTTTTGCTGCCAATATTTAAGCTTTATTTATATTTTCATACAATTGGAATTGAAGATGTTTTTCTATAAGTGTGTAAGTGTGTTGGAAGAGAGAGTTAGCACAAACAGCTCATCGAGAATCTTTTTATTTCAATTTAATATTTATGCTTGTAAATATGACAAGCAATTATTATGTTGATTGATTTAATTAAAATTCGTACTTTGTGCTTAAAACAATTGATTCTGTCACTGTCAGCCACTGATTAAGAGTTCATTATGAAGCCGTCAGGATAATGCAACAGCCATGAGCATGATGAAGATACACTGAGAACCGTTGACATACTATTGAACTTATCGGACAAGTGTTCGCTGTGCACACCTTGTCAACGAGGAAAGCACAATAAATTTTATTCAGTCTCAATCAGATTATTATCAGTACGCAAGTACGTATACGTCACGTTGTGTCCAACTGGAACACTGTTGACACAGTTGGCAAATACTTTTCGGTCAAACAAAAGGACGAATACAAATTCCTTTCAATCTGTGTGCGTGTACGTGTTGCACAGCAACTGTGCGTGGCTTCTGCTATCGGCAAACGAACTTTAAAATCAGACAACAGAGCGACAGACGCAGTAGAGAGCCGACCATAACAGAACAGAACAGTGGAAAAGAGAGGAGAACAGGGCAGGAGCAAATATTTGCTGCTGCACGAGTACGAGTCCGTCTACTTCAAGACACAATTGAGACGCACTCCATTTTATTTTCACACCGCGGCATCGTTTGTTCAGACACCGTGCACCAATACTAACAACAACAACAGCAACAACAACAACAACCAATGCACGTAAATGGCACAGGAACGAACACACACACACATTGCCAAAGTGGGCGGTGCTGAGTGCTGGCGCACAGCACACAGCAGTTGTCTCGCTCTAGCCCGTTCTTTCGACGGCAGCGCAAAGAGAGACGGCAATTGGTTGAAATGCCATTTTGTTTGCGCTTCTGCTGCGCCGCTGCTGCTGTCGCGACTGCATCCATCGAACGAACGCCAGCAGCAGGCAGCCAGTTTGTTTTCTCCCTTCCAATCGAGCGGCAGCGGCGGTTCCGCATCGCCTTACGCTCGCGTACTTCTACGCGCCCTCTCAGACCCAGTCAATGTGAGCGATCGCAGCAAATGCAGTTCAATTTGAGTGCAATTAAAAGATATATTCGCCGTCGCCGTCGGCGTTGTCGATGCGCTTCCACCTTCACTTTAAGCTCAACTGATGCTGTATACATAACGTAAACTAATGTGCATGTGAGCATCGGTCGTCTCCGTCTCCGTCTCCGTCACCGTCTCAGTTGCGGTTTCCGTCACCGACGCCGTCGCCGTCGCCGTTGTTGTCATCGCCGCCGCCTTTGCCGCGCTGCCAACTCGCAAGAATTTATGGAATTTGGCATTTGTGGATTTAGCGAAAATATTTTCATTGAGTGCGCGAGCAAATGTTTTTGTGTACGCTTCGCTTTCAGATCTCGCCCGCGTTCCCGTTAACGTTCCCGCAACCCGCGCACTCATAAAAGCCGCGTTAAAATCTTAAAAATTCACGTGTAAATTCCGGTGCTTATAAATTTAATTACTATTTAAATTAACTGCTAGCAATACGCAAAACGCGAGTTTTTACGACGGCATTAATCCGTCACTGTCTGTGGAAATTTACCCATACCCATATGTGAATCACAAAGCCAAGTGTTTTCTTATACAGTACCCATACAAATTAAAGTCTATATGCTTATGGATAAAGTGCATAAATCAGATCAAAACTCACACCAATTCAGAGAGCAGAACATTTTGGAACAGCAGAATATTGGATTATAAAATTTCACTTTTTGACGCGTAAGTATATAAAAAATCTATATATAGCTTATGATAAAGGCGTTTTTATCTCAATCAATGTTTTAGCTGAGAAAGATACAAATAATAAGGATGGGATACAAATCATCTATATGTAAATCTTAGAAATTTTCGAACTTTTTCTACTTCCATATTTCCCAGATAGTATTTCCCCGTGTAACCCGCAAACTGCCAATAGCTTTCTGCTTTAAAGTCATGTAACTTAAAGTTTCCCTTCTAAAAGTAGTTTGGATAACTGACTATTAAGAGAACAGTCTATTATGATGACTATGACTAACATGGGATTTTTGTAAGTCCCTATTAGCTTAAGAATTATTTCCAGTTTGGTTGATATTGAAATACCCAACCCCAAGGTTGCGAAAGTTTAGTTTCTACGATTCAAAGGTTTAAATTGCGTCTATAAGAAGATATACAATTTTAGATAATCCAGGGCGGGAAAGAAGTGAAAACGAATAAAGAAAATGAAAAACAAAGCAAGTTATTCTTATCGAGTAGAAAGCGCTTTAATTCCTAATGTTTTATAATCATACAGAATAACATTTCGCCAAATTTTTATATGGAGTCCAATTCTAAATAAATTCTATTTTCATATAAACATAGAAAAAACTTATTTATTAAAATAATAGTTCAGTCTTTGAAATTGCAACTTGCAATTCAGTTTAAATTAGGAAACTTTAGGCAATAATTAAGTATAATTTCGTTTCCATTTAATATGGTTTAATAATTAATAGTCGATTGCATTCATAAAGAACGGACATTGGGT